TTTTTTTTTTTTTTTTGACCTTACTCTTGTTATTTCGTGTGAGTGACGTGTTTGCGTTTATAGTAAGCTTTTAGTGTCGATATGATAGAATAGCTGTGTAATAAGGAGAAATTGCTTTCAAATTTTTAAGGGTACGATGTCACATCGTAAGTTTTCGGCTCCTCGACATGGGTCGATGGGCTTTACACCCAAAAAGCGTTCTCGGACTCACAGGGGGAGAGTTAAGGCATTTCCAAAGGATGACAAAACCAAACCTATACACTTAACTGCGTTTATGGCTTTCAAAGCGGGTATGACGCATATTGTGCGTGAAGTGAGTTACAATTTTTTCAGAAGATTTGTGTGACGCATTAATGGTTCAAGCTAATTTGTTTCTGTTGCCGAGAATTCGGGCAGTTTAAATTTAGAAATTGTTGAATTCAGTTTCTTTTGTTGCATTTAAGTGTTTTGTTTCTGTGTAATGTTTATTTTTTTATTTACTATTTGGCCATTAGTAACTTGTGATACTAATTAACGCAGGTAATAGTAGGTAATTGCAAATGGTAATTTATATTTTGAAGGTCGACAAGCCTGGTTCAAAAGTAAACAAGAAGGAGGTGGTTGAGGCGGTAACGATCCTTGAGGCGCCACCGATGGTTATTGTGGGCATTGTTGGATATATAGATACTCCGCGCGGTCCTCGTCCGTTTAAAACAATCTGGGCGGAACATCTTTCGGAGGACTGTAGAAGACGGTTCTACAAGAATTGGTATATTCCTTCTTTTCAAACTTTCCAAAGTAGCATTGGAAGCGGGTTTCAAGAAGTGTTGTGAAGTTTACTTGTTTCTGACGTACAAAGTTGGTAGTGTCACTGTTGACTGTCTTGAATTTCAAGCAGCAGGTTTCTCTTTTTTGATTTGCGGCACTGATGTAATTATCTGATCTAACCTTGGATTTCCTTGTACAGAGTTGTGGATGTGAACTGCTTGTTCCTTCATGTACATCTCTGCACGTGCGAGTAGCAGTTCTCTGCGTATTAGATACCTTCCAATGTTACGCATACTGCGTAATATGAAGGGCAATTGCTGAATTCAGTTCCCGTTGCTCTGAGCAATTGCTTTATTGCAGCGGTTCTTCATGAATTCTGTAATATCTAGGCATAAATCGAAGAAGAAGGCTTTCCAAAAGCACGCTAAGAAGTGGCAGGATGAAGACGGCAAGAAATCAATTGAAGCTGACTTGGCAAAAATGAAGAAATATTGCTCAATGATTCGTGTTATTGCTCATACACAGGTTGATTTTGAGCTTTATCTGTGTAAATAAGACATGACTATCAAGCAAGTGGTGATGAAAAGGACTGGAGTAAAACCGAGTTTTGGTGCGGACAGGCCCCAGTCCAATTGCTGCCTTCCTTCTGAACTTGCTTCATTCTGTTTGTTTCCACTGTCTTCTAATGTTATGACTACTGGTTACTTTATTTTTTGTTTTTAGAGTAATTATCTAATTTAGATGAAAATCATGAGGCATCGTGCAAAGAAGGCGTATATTATTGAAATACAGGTGAATGGAGGCACTGTGCCTGAGAAAGTAGATTGGGCACGAGAACATTTAGAAAAACAGGTTTCATGTTTTCTTCAGTCCGTTTCTACTTTTTCTTTGCCAGCTTTTGACCTTTTAAGTATCCTGAGAGTTACTGTGCCTAGTTTGCTTCAGGTGCCTATAGACAGCGTTTTCCACCGTGATGAAATGATCGATTGTATTGGGGTGACTAAAGGTAAAGGATTCAAAGGAGTAACTAGTAGGTGGCATACGAAGAAGCTGCCAAGGAAGACGCATAAGGGTCTTCGAAAGGTTTC